TTGATATGGAGTCTCTAGATTTGTTTGGGAACCTTAGTTAAATGGCGGCTATGTACAAGTTTATGACATTTTCAATTTGATTTGAGTTTTTAAGTTGTTAATCGTGTATGTTCTTATTTGATTGTTATACAGTTAGTCATCAATTCTGATCTAGATAGGTAAAAATGACATGTTTGCAGTTTGGTAAAAAACACAATGTTGTAATTTTGGCTGGAAATAATTTTGTGACATAAAAACAACTATTTTGTATGTGAAGATATAAAAATTGAATCAATAATATGATTATATAGTTAGGTCTCGGCATGGATAAAATGATGTGTATTTTTTTATGTTACTTAATTACATTTTTTGAGCAATGTTAATGTAGGATTTGAATCTGATCACATAGCATTAAACAAAAAAATAACATAAATACTCAATATTGTACTTTAGATTTAATACAAACCACTTATTAGCGACCATACAAGATCAATTATTTAATCTAGATATAGGAAATAAATTTAAGCCAACACTTTTTGCCAAACACATATGCTATACTTCCGATAACTATTAAAATAGAAATTTCAAGTGTAAACCATCGTGGCCAGCTGTTGTGACCGGTGGTTTCATGTTTAGCTGGTGGTTTATCCAATGTTGAGTCTTCTCCTTGATTTGTCAGCTTGTTCTTCAATTGGTTTGTGGAGTTGTGCTAAATTTAAATATGACACCACAAACCAATGTTGTTGAGTATGAGATATACAATATAAAAAAGTGTCTATAAACCGAATGTAACCATGTGAATCAAGTCCTCCAGGTGGACTTTAGAATCAAGTCTCTATTGTTAGGCCACCAATGACCAACACAAACTTGGTAAGTTCTTCTCGCTCTTAATAAAGAGTCTCCAACGGATCCTACAACAAAGTGTGCATAAACAGTGCATAATCAAATAATATCTATGTAAGAAGTAAAAGTCATACATTCACAAGTTTATAATTGACAGCATCGTTTAACTTGAAAATTTCATCCTTAAGTTGAGAAATTCCAGTTGTAATACTTTATTTTGACTTCACCATCCTTTGCGGTTCTAGCCACAACACCAACCAATGTAAGATCATCTTCATTAGTTGTTGAACTTGGAGTAATAATTGGACAAGCCTCTTCACCAACAGCTGAACTTGGAGAAACAAATTTGGTTCAGCATTATCATCAACCACAAGTTTAACATATTCATTAGTTTTATTAGCAAAATCACTTCCCCAAAAATCTCATGTTGACTTGAATGAACTCTCTCTAAATTTCGTTCTTCATCAGTGGTCATGGGTTTGAGGCAACATCCAAATGGAGCAAGAGCTTCACCACCGATTTGACCATGTAGCTTGAGGAGTTAGAGGAGATTTGGATGTTGTGGTTTGCTCTGAAACAATATTCTCGTTGTCCTCCTTAGTCTCTCCCTTAACTTTAGATTTAGAGTCGCCTTCAATCTCATTTCTTGGTTTATTAGTGGAGTCAATGTTTTTCTCATTCTTAGGCATCTCTTTGTTAGTATACATATTGACAACTTTCCTCAGAAAAATTAAACTAAACGTTTAAGTTTCTAATCAAATCAATCTATCAACTATTCAACAAAACTTGATTTTGTTTTATGAAACTCATTAAATTTTTACACACTTCAATCACATATGTATACTTAAATGCAAGGACTTTCTCTTGTTTTGAATAACTATACATATTTATTCATGTCTCATCTCTACATTGTCATTGTTACCGTAACCTTCTTTCCAGTGACCCGAAAGGAAAGTTTCTAAGTTCGTAAAATCAGTCACAATAAAACAGTTCATCAACTTATCAACACATCCACCATAAAACTAAAGTTTTAAGCTTCTAATCAAATCAGTCTATCAACTATTCAACAAAACTTGATTTTCTTTTATCAACTATTCAATCTCTACATTGTTATTGTTACCGTAACCTTCTTTCCAGTGACCCGAAAGGAAATTTTCTAAGTTCGTAAAATCAGTCACAATAAAACAGTTCATCAACTTATCAACACATCCACCATAAAACTAAAGTTTTAAGCTTCTAATCAAATCAGTCTATCAACTATTCAACAAAACTTGATTTTCTTTTATGAACCCACTAAACGTTTTTACACACTTCAATCACAGATATATACTTAAATGCAAGGACTTTCTCTTATTTTGAATAACTATACATATTTACTCATGTCTTATCTCTATATGGTCATTACTACCGTAACCTTCTTTCCAATTACCAGGAATAAAAGCTTCTAAGTTTGTAAAGCCAGTCACAATGAAACAGTTCATCAACTTATCAACACATCCACCATAATACTAAAGGTTTAAGTTTATAATCAAATCAATCTATTAACATTCAACAAAACTTGATTTTGTTTTATGAAACCCACTAAAAGTTTTTACACACTTCAATCACAGATGTATACTTAAATGCAAGGACTTTCTGTTGTTTTGAATAACTATACATATTTACTCAAATCTCATCTCTACGTTTTCAATACTACCGTAACCTTCTTTCCAATGACCTGAAAGGAAAGTTTCTACATTCGTAAAGCCAATCTCAATGAAACAGTTCATAAACTTATCAACATATATTCTATGTTCCAGATAAAAGAAGCAAACCTACATTAAAAGAAGAAAGGGTACTAAGGATGATGTTTTGTTATTAAATTAAAATTTCAAAATATTATATTATTTTTGATTTTTACAACATAATTTTTTTTTGTATTGAATTTTATAAAGTTATGCAGCATCTATGATTTTATATTAATTTGGAATATTATTATACTGCATTTGGAATGTTTATTTTAAAAATTTTATATTTGGTCGATAGAAATTTGAAAATTACAGAACTATTTTAAAATTTGGATGATTATATAAATTTGATTTTTCTCGGTACAAAGTTAATTCATTATTTTATAAAAAAACAAAGTATTTGAATTTTTGGTAATATTTTTAATGCTTTTGGACATATTTTGTTATAATTAAAATAACAATAAACTTATAATAATTTTTTTGCTTTTTTATAATAAAAATTTAATTAGAATTAATTTAAAATATATTCTATTACTAATTATGAAGTTACTTAATGCATTGTTTTAAGAACATACCTAAAACTTTAATAGTATATTGTTAGTTTTTTTCTGTACATATTTTTTATAACTATATATAAAGTTAAATTTATAATTAATTGATTTATTATTAATATCTTTATGGATTATTAAGATTTTTAAAAATAATATATAATTCATTGATTAATGTAAATAATCAAATATGATAAAACTAATATGACTTGTTAATAGTAGATAAAAATATTATTCTATTTTAGTAGAATAGATAAATTTGATATAATGAGAATTTCAGGTTTATGCATAAATGTAACAAAATCGACAGTTTTTGATGCAGGGGTTAACAAGCAAGTGATTCAAGAGAAAGCGATTTATTCTGGTTTTACTATATCTGAGCTCCCTGTCAAGTATCTTGGCTTTCCGTTGACAACAAAGACCATGACGAAGAATGATTATGCTCCTCTGCTGGATAAGATTAAGGCTCGTTTTCATAGTTGGGCCAGTAAATCTCTATCTTATGTTGGTCGACTGATGCTCATAAATTCGGTCATTGCTAGTATAAATAACTTTTGGTGCTCCGCTTTTTGCTTACCCAAATCGTGTATGGATGATATTGATAGCATATGTTCAGCTTTTCTTTGGAGTGGCTCTCCAAATGACACATCCAAAGCAAAGGTGGCTTGTAAGGAGGTATGTACTCCTATGCAAGAAGGAGGGCTGGGAATCAAAAACATAAGCGACGTAACCACAGTACTATGCGCCTTAAAACTTATTTGGAGGTTGTTTAGTGAAGCTCACTCTCTTTGGGTAGACTGGATGAAACAATACATACTACGTAATGACTTTTTCTGGAGATCAGCTTTGATCAGTGAAGTAACAAATGATGCAGGTGACTAGAAATTCTGACGGTGTCAAGACAGACAGATGCGAGAGCTTATTAATATGATACAAAATTATCAGATGGAGAAGCACATGCACTCTATTGATGTTTTCATATGGAAAAAGAATGAGACTGAATATTGCAAGACTTTTATTGCTGGAGAGACCTGGTAGAGGATCTGAACTCATGGAACTGTCAAAGACTAGAGTAAAGTTGTGTGGTTCAAGCTGGGAGTTCCGAGTTTTGCTTTTATTACCTGGCTGGCGCTAAGGAATAGACTATCCACTGGGGAGAGGATGCGGGATTGGGGCCAAACACAAGGCTGTGTCTTTTGTGGTGAGCCAAACGAGACAAGGGATCACTTGTTTTTTTGTGTGTCCCTATACATACACGCTTTGAATTGAAGTTGTAGGCACTCTGTTGGGGATACCTCCTGATCCTGACTGGGACAGTACCATCGATCACCTTAGTAATCATAGATTTGGGTATCTTGAATACCATCTTGTGAGACTGGTCTTTCAAGCTACAATTTATATAATATGGAGAGAAATGAATGATAGGAGACACCTAAAGAAGGCAAGACAGCCAAGCCAATTGGCTAATATCGTGGACAAAACAATGAGGAATAGGCTCACGGCTACATGCTATACGAAAAAGCCGTAAGGGGTCTTATGCAAGTCTGGTTTCGGCATCATTCATAAGTTTCTCAGAGACTATAGAGCATAGAGCATATGTTTTAGTGTTCTCAGTTTCAGTTTGTACATAACCATTCTTTAGCTGATGATTAATAAATTTAACATTTTATCAAAAAATAAATAAATTTGATATAATGAGTAAACTGTTTTGGACAGGTATGACCGGGAAACAAAACAAATCGAGTAACAATCCGGAAATTTACCACTAACCGGAACCGGTTCAATCGTGAATTGACTCGAATCCCATTATGTGGCGCATCGTGAAAGAGAGAGCCAGCAACTGTTCAAAATCTCAAATAAGAGATCAAATGCAATCAATCATGGACACCATTTCTTCCTAATCATCCGTTTGAATTTCTCTATCTTCTCACCTCACCTCACCATGGGTGCTTCATCCTCTACAGATAACAAAGAGCAATCGGAGAAGCGAGAAATCGAAAGCCTTGCTGCTTCCACCGGTGCTCTTCCTCTCCTTCAACGATCTTTCTCAAACCTCGCCGATTCTCAGACCAACACAGTTTCGTTCCAATCCTTCAAGGTAATAACTCTATTTCGATTAGGGTTTTCATTGTTCTTAGATAATCCGGATTTGCAATTACAGTAATTTTGGGATTTGATCTCGCGAAACGTCAAAAATTGGATGTGAATTAGGGTTTTGAGACTGAGTTTTATAGGATCGAACTGTAGATCTCTACTTTAGCTTTACAATGATGTTTTTTTTGTTTGTGATTGTAGAAAAGTTTCACCTTGAACTACAAGACAACTACTTGTGAAGGAGACCAGACAGTTCCAGATTCGTTTCCGAGGTTGTTGGAGCATTTAGGTCCATCTTTAGTAGATTTGTTCTTCGTCCCTGAGAAAGGAGGAGGTTTGAGTTGGGTCGATTTTGCTAGAGGTTATGTCAAATGCTGCGGAAGAATGTCTGCCTCCATGTCTTACAACACTCTGTTGAGAGTCTTTCATCTGACATCTCAAAACGCAGGCTTTTCCTCGAAGCTGGAGTTCGAATCTGATGAGGCTGATTGTAAGATCAACGGGTCGGTCTCCACTGTAGAGTTGATTATGTTTCTCTGGATGTGTTGGACAATGTCTTGGGGTGGTCGAAGCAGTAGATCCACCGACTTGTTTCTTCCTGATATAAGTCACTTGATTATGTCAGCGCTTGTGTCTTGCACCGAGTCTGGAACTAGTTTGGATGTTTGGGATTCTGATGTTTTCGGTTTGGAACTCGAGCTTCCTGTCGGGAAATTCCTGACGTGGGCATTGACAACGATTCCTAGCCTCACTGAGTGTCTTTCTCACTTCTGCAACTCAAGACTTCAACATTCTTTAAATGCAGAGGTACTCCCTCTTTCTATTTGCTACTTCACATTTAACCGTAAGGTGTTTAGTAAAAAGTGGATTACAGGATGGATCTGGGCCTTCAAAGTCAGCTTGTGGAGATGATTCTGTGTCCAAGACACGTGAAAACACACTTCTTACATGTGGAAGGGCATGGGCGATTTCTTTGACGTCCAAGAATACGTTAAGTGAGGAGATCCTGAGCTCATGCTTTCCCGGCAATAGCGATGAAGCTAATGAAAATCTTCTTTACCGGTATGCCACTGTCCTACTTCTGTGAAACTTCTGTCGCTATATATAGTGTACTTAAGTTGTTCTATGTTTATCTGTCTTTCAGCTCATACCATCACGGGAAAGGCATGAATCGATTGTGGGACAACGTTCAAGGGTATCATGCTCCGATACTATTGATAGTTTCTGCAAGCGGTGGAGTTGATCATGAGGCTACTTCAAGCGAGAGGAAGTGGGTCATTGGTGCAATCTTGCAGCAAGGTTTTGAGAACAGAGATACATTTTACGGAAGCTCTGGGAACTTGTTCTCCATTAGTCCTGTCTTCCACGCATTCTCATCTTCAGGTACTGCACAAATCAGATAATGTCCTTTTTGTGTATTCAGTTTTTGCATTAATATAGTCTTTTATGATTTGTGTTCATCTTCAGGCAAAGAGAAAAACTTTGCATATAGCCATCTTCATCCCTCTGGTAGAGTCTATGACGCAAACCCAAAGCCTGTTGGAATCGGTTTCGGAGGAACACAAGGAAACGAGAGAATCTTCATCGACGAAGACTTTGCTAAGATCACAATCCGTCATCATGCAGTTGATAAAACTTACCAGCCTGGCTCTCTCTTCCCAAACCAGGTAACACAAGTACTGGTCTATATATATATGTTTCAAGTTTTGGTCTTGGATCTTTATAACATATGTTGTTGCAGGGTTATTTACCGGTGGAGGCTTTGGTGTCAGATGTTGAAGTATGGGCATTAGGTGGAAAAACAGCTAAGGAAGTTCAAGAAGCATACAAGAAAAGAGAAGAGCTTTTCAATGACCAACGTCGAAAAGTAAGAAAAGAGCAATAAGATCGATAATGCAAAATGTACAAAGTACTTGCAAGTTTGACAAGCTGTTTTATGTATCTGCAGATTGATTTGAAGACGTTTACGAATTGGGAAGATTCACCTGAGAAAATGATGATGGATATGATGGGGAATCCTAATGCTCCGGCAAGAGAAGAGAGGTAAATGAATAGAGGAACCAAAGACTTGTTTGGTATATTTATACACGTGTCTCGATAGAGATTTTCTGTAAATTATACACTCATTTGCTGTTTGTGTAAGCTATGTATATCGTTGCCAAAACTCGAACCAGAGTGTTGTTTTGAGATTTGCCCATAAACGTTTACTAACGTTTGCATCAATAAATAGTGGGTATTGTTCATTTGTTTGAGATGATTTGATTTTTTTTTAGTAAAGTCAGTACACAAAAAGTTATTCATACACGAACATTTACCTCATATATTGGTCGCCGATTCTTTTATTTATTCAGACACAAATATTTTTATCTTGTCTAAAATATCATGAATTAATATTTGTTTACACACCAATTCTTTCAAAATCACAACCGATTCCTTTTGATGGAATGGACCACGTTTCAATACGTATGCTGGAAAGATGGTGTTTTTGTGGAGAGACGAGGGAATAGTAGTTTCAAGATCTGTTGTGCTAATACGTAAACCATCTTAAACTCATTTCTACTTTTTCCTTCAAATGAAGGTATGTATTTTGCTTTAATGTGTAGAGGTAGGTTGAAGATAGCTCTTACACATTAAATCTACAAGCTCATGAACAACAAAAACTAGTTTCTTGAAAGTGTATAATTTACTGGGAAAATCTCCACTAAAAACAGTGTTTGATAGACATTCTCTTTTTTCCAACGTCAAGAACATGGCTTAAACAATATATGTATCAGGTCGGATGCAACGGATCTAATCCGAAACATTAAAACAAAGTATCACAACGACATCTATGGTATTCAAAGCGTTATCTAGTTATACTTCCTTTGGTCTGCTATAAGTTTATAACTAGAATCACCAGTGTGTTGGCTCATTATTTTGCAAAACAAGCCTTACGAGCTTCATATTCAGAAAAGAAAGACATGAAATTAAACTTCATGGTTTCTGATCAAAAGTTCACCCATTTCAAGTTCACACAAAAGTAAGAAACAATACAAATCTACATGTCCCAACCTGAAACCCAAAGCTTGAAACACATATCAAGAGTTATTCATTCCCAATGCTAGACATGCAAACTGAACAAAGAGCAAAACCCAAAATCAAGCGGATCATCATTGCTTCTTGTCTTCTGCTTTCCTCGGCTGCAAACCAAAAACACACAAAGATCAGTTCTCTCTTCCTCACAATGATAAATGTTTGAAAACACAACACGGACCTTAACACCAGGAGCTTCTTGGTGAATCTCTTCCTCAGGGATGATGACAGGCCACTGCTCCCCGGCTTCACGGAACATCTGTTCTGTCTCAAGATACTGCCCTTTATCAAGAATCATCTTCCTGATAGATTGAGCCGACGTGGCAGCCGCATCGAAAGCTTCCTCAACACCATTAACGAAAGTGACACTGATCTGCGGTGGCTGATCGTCTGTTCTACGTTTCACCAGAACCTGACAGTTAGGGTTCGACTCTTTGGCTTTCCTCGCGTTGCACTGAGCCAAGAACTCCACGCAAGACGCGAGTCTTGGATCCAATGTGTTGAACTCAATCTTTACTTTTGATAGGAACTTCAACATCCTCTTCTTTATACCTAAAAACAGGCCATTAATATCAAAAACGTGAAAGCGAGATCTGAAGATGATTTCTACCAAAAAAAATCTGAGAATTGTTCCAAATGATAACCTAATTAGATCGCTATGTACAGGAAAGTAAAATTTTTGTTGAGAAGGAGATCTCTGACTTACACAAGTCCACGGGAGCTCTCCGGCGAGAATTGGTTAAGGGAAAATGCAGAAGAAAGCGCAAATCGATGCAGGCGATGAAGAAGAAAGGGTTTTGGGCCTTTGACTGTGTGGAATGACGATATTACCCTTATTCTCTGTTTACCTTTGCTTCGTTTTTTTTTTTTCGGGTGGAGGCTTCGGTTTGGTTCGCTTTTCTGATGGAGCCTGAATTGCCAAAGAGTGATTATTAAAAAATAGAATACAAGTGAATTTCCAACCACTAGATCACTATAACTTAATTTTAAAAATAATTTTCTCTGTTCGATTTTTCAAAACGATATATTTGATTGCGTTATGTTGGAGCGACTACACCATTTTTCCTTTTATGGAAAAAAGAGAAATATTGAAAATTTTTGAAGTTTTTTATATGTTGGTGTTAAACTTATTAATGAATAATAACTTCGTTTGCGTCATTAAATTTGATTAATATTTATGTTTCAGTAATTATAATGCTTTAAAAAACTATTAATAATTATTTAATTTATAATATTAGTTAATTTATAGTTCAATTTAATTTTCTTTTCAATTTTTAATTATAATATTAGTTGTAGGTAACTGAAATGTATAAATAAATATTGTTGTAAACCTTCTATACTTTTGTTTAAAAATTTAAAACAACAGAATTCCAAATACTTAATGTATTATTGATCAATCTTTTTTATAGTCAACTCAATATCAACCATGTTGTGGAGGAAAATTTTGAAGATGAGAGATCTTGCTAAAGGTTATCTTGAGATGGATGTTAACAACGGTGAGCATACTTCTTTTTGGTATGATGACTAGTCTTCTCTGGATTGTCTTAAAGATTTGATTGGAGATAGAGGTTATATTGGTCTTGGTATTTCTGAAAGTGCTTTGGTTGCGGATGTGATTCTTAATCATCGTAAAAGAAGGTATAGAGTGGGGATACTTAATGATGTGGAAGTTGTTATTGATGAGTTGATTGAGAAAACCAAACACCCGGAAGATGATGTTCCATTGTGGAGACAAGATGAATACAGATTTACACAAACTTTCTCTACAAGAAAGACTTGGCTTTACCTGAAGCAAAAGCTTCCAGATTGTGGATGGAGTAAGGGTGTTTGGTTTTCTCAATCAACTCCTAATTCTCTTTTATGGTCTGGGTGGCTCCTCATAATAAATTGCAAACTTGCGACATGATGCAGAAATGGAATCCCTCAATTGATATGATGTGTGTGTTGTGTAAGGAAGAGCATGGATCTTGTCATCATTTATTCATTAAATGTAGATATTCTGAGAGAGTGTGGAAGGAACTAGTTGGTGGGATTTTAAAGGAGGATTTTACCTCTGTTTGGAGTGATATTCTTGAGTTCATTTCCCGGCCAAGGACTGGATTTACAGCTACTGAGATTTTCCTCATTCGATACACCTTTCAAGCTCTTTTACATTGTCTTTGGAGAGAAAGAAATGGCCGTAGGCATGGGAGCAACCAAAGGATGAAATAGTCTTGGTTAAATATGTTGACAAGCTAATTCATTTGAAGCTTCTAGCAGTTAAGGGTAAGGGGCAGAGATACCTTGAGGAAGGGCTTTGCATTTGGTTTGGATCAAGATCTCCAGGTGCTCGTTAGAGAGGAGTTTGCAGAGTTATTCGTGGTATAGTTTGCTTCTGGTTATTTTTCTTAACCAAACATGTTGGGCTTGAAAGGTCTTTTTCGGATAGTAAGAGGTTTTATTCATTCGAACTATCCTTTTACTCTCCTGATCATGTGATAATGTGATCTTTACTCTTTTTTCTCTTTAAAGTTTTGTTCCAATTGGGTTTTCTTTAAGGAGGTTTTAATGAGGAAGATACCATGATCCTTCCAAGCTTGACTTGTTTCATATGGTCGAGTTTGAGGGAGAGTGATGGATGTGTTCATTAGATTTTGGAGTTTGTGTCTTTTTATTGGTTGTTTCAAGAGTAGTTAGAATCTTATTGTAATTTTTTTTTCAAATCTGTGGCATTTGATGTAATAGTGTTTTGTTTGAATAAATTTTATATTCATTAAATATATATATATATATATATATATATATATATATATATATATATATATATATATATCAACTATGTTATTAGACAAACATCAAATTTATTTACTGTAGCATAAAATGTGTATAGTTCATCTCTTTCTCGGTATATTATATATTAATAAATTTTTTTTTAATATTTTTAGAACACTATTATCATTATGTTATGTGTTTGTTAAGAGTTTGAATAGTGTGGTATTCAATTTTCCATGAGAAAATATAAGATTTGGTAAATATAAAATATTTTTTGTTCAAACTTTAGGTGTTATGCCAACATCGATCCATACCATTTAGCCAAATCTTCTCACTTTGGAGCGATTTCATGTTTTTCTTAACAATGAATATACAACAGTAATTTCATAAATATGAATGGTTGAATGTTATTATAATAGTTTGTTGATTCATTTATTGTGGTATGATTGGCTCAGTTCATCTAAAAGCACCATTTAGAAATATTGTTTTTTGCTAAAGCTTTTTATTGTGTATGAATCTGCCAAGTAAAATACATCTCACAAACTCTTATCAAAAGCTTCAAACACAAATTGATGGTACAATAGATATTTCATTCAAAATAATGAAATTTCTGAAACCAACATTATTAACAACAAAATAAAAGTAACCTTTTGGAACATGGACATAGTTTAACTACGAACATAATTTTGATACATTCTCTTACATATATAATAATTATTTAGTTATACATGTATATATATATATCTAAATATTATGAATATAAAATATAATTCATTTGTTGTACCTTTCAGTTGAATAATTTCTTCACAATTTTGAAATAAGTTTTTCACAAGATAATTGAAGAAATTATTGTCTTGCAGATGTTGTTCATTTCATAAGTTATATCTCAAATTTGTGATAGAAAAACTTTATAGTTTCTAATGCAAATTTGCATATTAAAGTTATAGATTTCAATAAAATTTCTTTCACCTAACTTATCTTCAAAATTTTCTAAAATTAATTGATGTGCACATTCTTAAATTAGATGTTCTTATATTTATAACAAATTAATTTAATAAAAAATATATGTGTTTTTTTTGAAAAAAAATATATTTAGTTTGTCGTCGTGTGATATAAAATTCATTTCTATAAGTTTGTTATTCATTTTCATTTTTTTTTTGCTCTTCACTTTCTACTAAGGGTGATTCTCTCAAATAGATATTTTTAAGTTTTTGTCACATAAATAGACCATTCAGAAACTAAAATGACCAAAATAGCATTTTTTATTTTTAAAATTTTCAATTTTTTTTTATTTTTTAAAATATGAAAATTATCCCCAAAACATCACTCCTCAACTCTAAACCCTACACTCTAAACATAAACCATAAACTTTAAATCTTAAACCGCACCTCTTAACTCTAAACTGTAATGTCTAGATTAATTAACCGTAGGAGTATAAGTATATATTTACTTTTTTAATAAAATATTTAAATTTATTTTTATCATTTTTATTTTTAAAGTCTATATTTGTGACAAAAAACATTTTTAGTTCTATCCTAGAAAATTTCTCTTCTAGTAAAGTGTACTACACGTAGTAAAATAATATGTAATTGAACATATGTTAAACAACTATTAAGAACCCAATAAAAATTTAAGTTCCGAATCTTGTTTTTCAATAGTTTTTTACTTTCAGAAACCAATTTTGGATTATATATATATATATATATATATGATTATTACGAATCTTGTTTTTAGTTTTTTACAATGTCTATCTTTCACACTTGTAATTTTAATTTTGTTTCTATAAACAAGCACTAAACCTTGATCCACGCACTAGTGTAATTTTTTATTTATTTTTAATGTAATAATATTTATAAATGGCTGAATTTTTTTTTTTTATGTTTAACCGTGTATCATTATTCATATTATATTTGGGTGTTAAACCAATTAAAATGATATATTTTCTTTGATAAAATTTTTATTTTCTTCATGTAGTGTTTTGCTAATAGTTTTGTGTGTTTAAGTTTTAACTATCAAACCTAAGCTTATTTTGTATATTTTCTTTCCAGATACATAATTATTTTTAATAAATTAAAAAAAGTCTGTTAACTTTAGTTCGATTTAAAAATGATTTGTTTATAGATATAAAACCTTGAGATGCGCTATGAGTTTTACTTTTTTATATAAATCTCAGTTTTAACATGTTATTAACACATGATACTTTAAATTTGTTTTTCTTTGTTTTCTATTATATATATACATATATATATATATATATATATATATATATATATATATATATATATATATATATTTGTCGAAATAAAAATTTGGAATAAACTGATAGTTTGCTTTTGGTTTAGATGATAATATTATATAATTGTTTAGTTTTGTATTTATAGGATGATTATGTAATATCATTATCTATTTTAAGATATTAAATATATATATTATTTTCAATATATAATATTTTGTACTATTATATTTTATATAATATTTTTAGGGATTTTTTCAAATTTGACTCAAAACTCTCAAACACAAAACTAACCTTTCTTGTTTTTTGATTTTTCATTTGTCTTATTCACCCCATCTATTCACATTATTTACGAAAATGCCATTACATTTTTTTTTTTTGAAAATTGTTTTTTTACTCTCTCAACCTCATCATCTTCAAGTATTTACAAGATTGACATTGCCATCAATACCCTAACTACCATGAACAACCAATCTGAAGATCTTAATGCACCTAAAATCGATTTACACTCTCTCTTTCTCAATTGTTATGAACTAAAAACAACATCTCTTTCACTTTGTCTCCATATTCATACAAAAAACCCAAGCTTTTGATTCAATTTTTTTTATGGTTGATAGAGCCATTTAAGTATACAATTCTTGGTGGATTACTTTCATTTGATATTCTGGGTGGTTGGAGAAGACTTTGTGTGCTAAGAAAGTCATCTCACCTAGTTTAAAGTATGAAATTGAATTTTTTTCCAGATCTGTTCGCGTAGAAGACTTACTCGTAAGTCTTCTGGATGAG